GTGATGACATATACGATGTAATGAAACGCGATATACATCGGTTTGACACGAGCGACTATACCGAGGACAATGTTTACAGTATGCCACGAGTAAATAAAAAAGTACCAGGATTAATGAAGGATGAAAATAATGGATGTATAATGACTGAGTTTGTCGGACTTCGGTCGAAAATGTATGCTTTGCGCGTAGAGGGCAAACGGGACACGAAAAAAGTGAAGGGCGTCAAAAGTAACGTAGTTAGGAAAGCTATTTCCTTCGATGATTATATACGTTGCTTGTATGATCGTTTAGAAGTGCATCGTGAACAGAGATGTATTCGTTCAAAATTGCACAATGTATATTCTATATGTGAAGAAAAGAAGGTGCTTAGTCCTTACGATGATAAACGATTCATAATTCCACAATCCACAAGAACGTTGCCTTGGGGACATTATAAAATAAATAATTATTCCTAAAAACATAATTTATTCTTTGCCTCCACGAGTAAAATATTATTAATTTCCAAGTATCTTTATAAGCCTGTAGGGTTTCGAACTCCTGCAAACCGTGCAATTTCATGAGAGAGAGACCGGAGTTCTTACTCATCTCAGGTCTTAGAGTTTGGAGGGAGATGTTTTCTCAACTCGCACGTGATCATCACCCTTGTACTTGGCTGGAGCTGCATTCTTTATGTTAGAATATACGGACGATAAGGGTTTGTCCGCGTGTTCCGGTGTTACGTCGACGGGACACATTCTAATCGTACGATGACTTCTATTGTTATAATCTGAGACCAGCATCGGTAAGACGGTTGTCCACGTTGAAAAATTGTCGACGTAGAACTAATCGTCGCTATGCTCCTGGCAAACCTGGTGGGGGCTTGGTGGCATATAAACTGGTCGGTTGGGTGTTGCGATTACTTTAAAAGAAACTTTGTCGCGTAATATGGATCTATCACGATTCAAAAAAGACGTATTCAGATCTTGGGTGAGTAGTCCTGACATCATTCTTTTTTTCTTTTTTGTTTTTGATTTATTATTCCGTTTTCTTGTGATGCCCTTTTTCAGCGTGAAGATGGTACTCACGTGGTTTACACGGGGCACATTAATCTTGCATACCGGAAGGCCGTCCGGTGGTACCGGGCCTATTTTCGACATACCCTCCAGGAACTATGGGAGTGGGACGAAGATAACATCTTGAACCTTGCGCCTCTATTTCAAGAGGAGAGATAAATTGTTTTCTTTTAAGGAACAAACAACTTGGGCAAAAAATAAATCATATATATATATTTTCTTCTTCTATGTGGTGCGTGTTTTTATTTTTATTTTTATTTTTTTCTTAAGCCTTCTGATCCCGTTCTTTAGTTTTAGTAGTACAGGATTGTTTTGGTTTTGAAGCCGGGGTTCGTTGTTCCGTTTTGTTGTGCTTCTGGTAGCTCTGCTATCTGTAGATCTGAGGGCAACGTTGTTGGGGTGGCGGTCGGTCGGTTCTGCAGCTCGATGTCTTCTGGCGTGAACTGGCTACGTATGTTTTCGCTAGGCTTGTCCAAAATTCGCTGCATAGAAACATTAAGATTCTCGTCGCTGTCGCCGTACGTTTCAACGGCATGTATCGATTCTTCACGATGAAAATCGGGGCGATCTTTCGTCACATCCACCGACCGTTCACTCGAAGATGTACCAGGTTCGGAATAAATGCGTGCTCTTGCAGTTTGTGTGCTTTGAGGGTTAAGAAAAGGAGTTGACGTCAATTTTTGCGGTTCTTTAATATTCACACTTGTCGAGCCGTTCAACAGGCCATCGATTATGTTTATATTCATGTTATTTTTTACACCGCCTAATATGAAGCCTCACTGTCACTTCTTCTCCACGGAAATTTATCAGATTATCGTTTTGATCGGTAATGCGTATACTAAGGTGATCAATGGCTCTCACGATAACTGGAAGATAAATGACGTTCGTAGTACTTTGCGAAATTATATATCCAGGCGGCACGCGCGGTGAAAACTCATGAATGGTATGAACACATTGACCGTTGCTATACGCACCAGTTGTAATATTACATTCGATCCTCAGCACATTTACTTTCATAATATTTACGGGTATATCCGACTCGTGCCATTGCCCCGACGGTAATATGCGATATGTAGAAAACCCGAGAAGCGATCCTACATTATTTGGTTTGGTAAAATCGATTGTATAATCACTATATATTTCACTTTTCAAAGTGCTGTTATTTGTACGAAATAAAATGATTTTTGTCTTGTCCATTATTTTCTCTTGTATGTATTTATTTAGCGCTTCGAGTTCGTACGAACCATCCGGTATCGTGATCTCACCATCGGCATCAAAGTAAAATTTATTGTTTGTAAAGTCAACGTTCGGTATTGTGTTGAAAGCTTGAAAATCAACGAGTCCGAGTTCGTAATTATCATCCTCCAAGTCTATAGGTGGAAAGTAATCAGTGCTAAGCACAGAATTTTTTCCGCTTAACGTAAACGTCAACGACATCTTTGCAACTGTGAAGACTATGTGCATCGAAACTATTTTATACATTTCCAGCTAAAAAATGCAAGCTGAGTTGTCCGCATACACTTGTATTGAATTTTTGATACTGCGCGTGATTGTATAAAATCGTTACATGGTTTCCGAAGTAGTTTATTAACTCTGTCGGTGGCCTCAGATTTCCAAAAGAATCGAAATATTTAACACAATTACCTCGCTTTACGTAAGCTACCCAGTGTGTACCAGGACCTTCCGATTTATCTAAATTCACGATACCGCATTCGTTTAAGAATGATTTAGAGGGCAAATTTGTACGCATGGAAACACCTCGAAAATATGGAAAGTTCAACTTTCGTGCAAAGTTATATAACTGTACATTTGTCATTGCGCCCTGTGGAAGCGTTACAATTTGCCGAAGCGCTTCTTTTTTTTTCTTTAATTCCTTTTCCCCGTTTATATGGTGCAAGGTAAAGTCCATGTCCTTCCATAACACGATTGTGCCATTTCACTTCCTCCAGTGTTTTCCGTGCTGCAGATGCATCGTTGACTGCCTTGGCGATACCTGCTGCACCGCCAGCCACCGTGCCCAAAGCTGAAAGGCCTGCAAAAATAGGTACAAGTGCTGGAAGAAATCCCCCACGTTTTGCAACTGGAAGTTTGCGCAATTTCGTCTTCTTCTTCTTGTTACTTTTCCACGGTGCCATTACTTTCTTCTTTGGCTAACTTTTTGGCTAACAATATTCCAGCAACGTGCGCAGACAAAAGTGTTTTCCAATCTGGTGCGAATTCTTTTTGTGCTAATTCGAAGATCAAATGTGCATATGCACATCGTACGACTACCGTATAGGAAGTGAAATTTTTTCCTGGGATGTTTGGGTTTATATAGGTAGAGAGAGAAGTTGTAAATGATGCAATACATTATGATTTATTAAAGTATAATTTCTAACATAATTTGTAACCTAATCCTTTTTGCTCTGTTAAGATGCTGCTGATGCAGCTGTTATTATTGCCTGAATACCTAAAGCTACTAATTCGCAATCAATAATTGAATTTGGATCATAAATATCAGTTTCTTTGATATGCTGCACAACCTCTGCAAGCACTTTTACATCTCCGTATCCCCGAACTAATGCAACAAACTCTTTAAATTTTTGTTCCACCGAATACAGTTTATCATATAATGCATTATGCATTTCAACTATACAATCATTTAAAATTACCATTTTCTCAAATGTTTTTTTCATCATGCACATGCATATATCATTGCTAATCAATTTAATTACTTTTTCGCCATATAGCACTCCAAATTCAACACTTATATCATTAAAATTAATATTGTCGCGTGTATCTTTTGAATCGTCAAAGAAGCTGCATACGTTGTCTGCTTCGGCTACAATCAGCGACCATGTGACTATGCTCAGCTCCAGGCGGTTGTTTCGGCTGTCTGATAATACGAGTTGCGGGTAGAAATTGTCGCCAAGTATATTTATGCCGATTTCCAAATGCTTTGTACAGAAATCCGTCAATGGATATTTTCGGCCCAAAATTCTACATGATAATTGTGGTGCGATTCTAGAACAAATAAATACCGTTTAAGTATGTTATTAGAACAAATACCGACAGCGTTAAATGAAATGTGTTTCGAACACATACTTCACGTCATTCTGATGTTTTGTCATTTTTTTGCGTGCCTCTTCTTCTTGAGTAGAACTTGCGGGGCGCTTCCTTTGGCAGAAAAACTCTTTGAAACTTTGAGAATACATATTTCACTTTTCACAATACAATCTCGCGAACGATGCACTTGCGGTGATGGTCAATTTGGTTTTGCGTATGCTTGAAGCTTTAGCAAACCCCCTACCTTCTATAGTCATGAATTGCAGTGTCAGATTTGCTGCGTGAACAAAAAAACTCATTTCCAAGACGTAGAAAAAATCATTTCCAAGACGTAAAAAAAAGTGGTCTTCCGATAAGAACAAACAGTTCAAGGTCATGGAGGGTGGGGGTAGGGTGTTATATTTCTGCCGACGGTGGTGTCAAATTTCAGTTCAAGGTCATGGGGTGGGGGTGGGGGTTGTCATGGGGTGGGGTGTCAAATTTCAGTTCATGGTCAGGACGTATCATATTTCTGCTGACGCTGGCGTCTAATTTTAGTTCAAGGTCGTGGGGTGGAGGTGTGGGTCTGATGGGGGCGGTTATGGGGTGGGTGCGAGTGGGGGGAGGGATGGTTATGGGGTGGGTGTTGTCGAGGACGTATCATATTTCTGCTGACGGTGGTGTCAAATTTCAGTTCAAGGTCATGGGGTGGGGAGAGGGGGCGGGGAGGGGGGTATCATATTTCTGCTGATGGTGTCAAATTACTGCTGAGTCAGCAAAAAAAATGCTGACGCCAGTGATTTAGAATCCGCATAGAACAACTACTCGGATTAATTCGATACGACGTGATCATTTCTCGGTAGATTCATTCTTTAAACGATTAGAAATTCTGCTTAGCCTCCATTACACCTCCCTTCCTTCGAGCTATGCTATGCCTGGTCTGGACGGTTTTCTCACGACTCTACCACTTTTGGTAGTTACCAGTGCTCTCCCCTCATTCACTCCAGACGGTCTGACGGTAACGCTGTCACTGCTTGACAAGGACTCTTCTTCACTGTCATATTCGTTGTACATGTGAACGACACTGTTTGGAGATTTTTTAATATGATACGATTTATCACATCCTGAGGTAGCTTAGACCAATAAAACAGCTGTCTTAGCCTCTTTTTTGTTTTTTCAATCCCAAAGTGGGGCTTATGAGCTAATTTAATCATTTCTGACTGTAGTAACTTAGGAACTAGTATTTTATTGTTATTTAGGACCAAAATTCCTTTGTGATATGTTATTTCATTTCTTAGCAACCAATAATTAGTGTCCACTGACTTACATCTAGCCTGTGGCCAGTCATTTAAAGAGTAATTGATTATTTGTTTTAGTTTTGTATCATTAGCGGTAGCTTTTTGAAACTCCGCAACCCTCGACTGACTCATTGCTACATAGGTGTTTAAGGAGTGTACAATTTCATTATCAGTGTTGTTTGCGACTTCGGTCTCATCTTTATTCAGATGTGATCTTGACAGCAGATCTGCAATCAGCATCTGTTTTCCTGGTAGGTATTCCAAATCAAGCGTGTATTTTATTAACTTAAGCATTAACTTTTGCAACCTAGGAGTTATTTTATGTATGTTTTTCTTTATTATTGAAACTAATGGTTTATGATCGGTATACACTTTGACTTAATTGCCATAGACAAATTAATGAAATTTTTCTACCGCGAAACAAACAGCTAAGTACTCTTTTTCAATCTGCGGATATCTACGCTCCGTGTCTGTTAAGCTTCGGGATGCAAAAAACACAGGCCGTCCGCTTTGTAGCAAGCATGCACCTAGCCCATGTTGTGAAGCATCCGCTTGTATTACTATCGGTAACTTATTATCAAATAATTTTAAAGTAGGTGCCTCCACGATTTTATGTTTAATTTTGTCTAATGTCTCACAGTGTTCTGGTCCCCATTGCCAACTATGTTCTTCTTTGTTAAATCTCTAAGACAGTTTGTTAGTTGAGACACATTGGAAATGAACTTTGACAGAAAATTTATCATACCCAATATCCTCAACAACTCCTTTTTATTAGTAGGTTGTTTTAGTTTCAGTATTGCTTCTACATGAGATCGATCCGGTTTTACTCCATCTTTATTAAATATAAATCCTAAATATTTAACTTCGTTAGTCTTATATTGAAGTTTATTCTTATTGAATCTAACATTGTATTTATTAGCTCTTTCCAAAACTAACTGCATAATCTTGTCATGATCTTTTCCATTCTTAGCAACAATAATAAGGTCATCAAAATAGATACCTACATCTTCTATGTCACCAAATATTATAGTGTTCACTCTTTGGAATACCTTCGGCGCGGTTGACAAGTCAAATGACAGTCTTGTGTACTTATATTTACCAAAAGGTGTTATGAAGGTACATACCTCTGAACTCTTTTCTGTTAGTTTTACCTGATCAAATCCGTCTTTCATATCCAACACTGAATAAACTTCTTTACCTGCCAACCTATTGCACAATTCATCAGCCGTGGGTATTGGAAATTTTTCCGGTTTTATGCTCTTATTATGTTGCCTTGGATCCAAACAAATTCTTAATGTTTTGTTTGGTTTTTCTATTATGACCATATTATTGACCCAATCTGTAGTATAATTCACCTTTTTTATTATCCCTGCTCCTTCTAAACTATCTAAAGTGCTTTTTAATCTATCCTTTATACTGAAGGATACTCTTCTACAAGGGCTGACCACCGGCACTGCGTGCTCTTTTAATTTTATTTCATACTTGTAAGGATAGGACCCTAATCCCTGAAATATTTTCTCATTAGCAGCTATAAACTCCTGTTTTGACATATTAATTTCTTCTGTTATTGTGTTACAAACCCTTATATCTATGTCTTCTTTCTTAATTAATTTTAATTTAACGCACGTATTTAGTCCTAATATGGGCATGCTCTCAACGTCAACTATGATGAATTTAACCTTAAACATCTTATTATCTGCACTATAATGTAGTATTGCTGTCCCTAGCGACTTACATTTATCATTGGTGTAGCTCACTACAATAGTTAATGTAGAAATCCAGTGTGGCTGTTTCTTAAATTCTAAATTTTTAAATATTGTCCAAGGAATTATGTTACAATTAGCTTCTGTATCTACTTTAAAGCTTATAACATTATTACCTATCTTAATTTGCTGTATCCAAACCCGATTTTTAAGTTCTGTGTTTACAGAGTCTACAAAAAACTGATTACTTTCCGTTGCAACCTCACTCACATTCCTGAGTCTTGACGTGGTGCTTAAGCATCCTATTGCAAAGTGATTCATTCTTCCACACATTTCCAAACGCTGGGCAGCTTGCTCTTTTGTGATGACTTCCACATTTCTTGCAATCGTAGGACTGCTGGGAATCTTCTTTCTTCTTTTGTTGTCTCACTTTGATCTTACTTAGCCTTGGCTGTAGTTTTGTTTTTTGACAACATTCACGCTGACTTCTTTAGTTTTTGTGTTTTCTACTTTTAAAGACTTTTGCTGTATTTTACTCATTTCTGCTGCTCTGCAGCTCTCGATTGCCTTTTCTACTGTTAGGCTTGGATCTCTTACGAGACGTTGTTGTAGGCTTTCATGAAAATGAATATACGGCATGATTTAATTAAAAACATGCATGTAATATATATACTTCTCCTCTTTTGTTTTCAGAAAATGCAATAATGGCTGCACTCACAGCAACAGGCAGCAGCTGCAACAGCAACCGCAGCAGCAGCCACAGGAGGACGTTAAACTGAAGCGTAGTAAGTATCACAGATCTTATCGAACAAATCATTAACCCATTTGCGTCGTGAATAATATAAAAAATTAATTTAAAACTGGTTGAACTATATAACATTTTAAATTTTACATTACAGAAAGAGGAACAGCGACCGGGACACGTCGCCGCCCTACCGTGGAAAATGGCCGCGTGGCGGGAGGGGCGGCGGTCCAATAAATACTATGTATTTTTTAAATAGATATAGTTTTTTTTTGGTTTATATAAATAAAAATAATTTAAAAAAAATATTATTCACATTGTTTTCTTTTATTTATATTTAACCATCTAAATTTGATCAATATATTTTTCTTGCTTGACAGTTATTAGGTATCCAATAAAAATACAAAACATCTTTACGGTATCTTTCAAATACTGCTGGTTCCACTAAAAAATGTGAAATAAAATAAATATTAACAAAAAAAAACCGACTTCGAAATGCGCTAAAAAGTGTGAAATAATTTATATTTCGTTTATACTGTAACGTGGTGACACCCGTGCCCCCCCGTAACAATCGCTGCGCTTTTCCCACCTTACACTCCCACCTCAAAATAACCCGTAACTCTTCCCTCACCTAACCCCTTCTCCCTGCCCACCGGTGTCGGGCCGATGGAGGCGACGTAAAACCCACATGGAATACCTGCAAAAGGAGCTACGAGGCCGGCGACAGACCCCTAACCCTTTCCAAGGAAAAGCAGCGACGTTGGACTCCGGAGAAACGGACGAAGCTGCCCAAATGATGTCAAAACGTCCACCCGGAGCCAACTGTTGCCGAGCCCGAAGACCTCAGCCCACCCGTCATCGCAGGATATCCGCCAGCCTCAGCGACCCCGACCACCGGCATATCGACTATCGATTATCGATCTATCCCGTTGCCGGAAGAGGCCCCCATCTTAGACCCACCCCGCCCCCAAACTTTTACCGTGACGGTCTCGTCGCCGCAACGGCGATGACGAGCCGTCATTGAGCCTTAGGCTATTGTAGCGAGTTACAGAGATTTTGATCGAGCGATTATAGAGAGAGAGTATTAGAGTGAGATTTTGTGTGTGGGGTGTTTTGGGTGAGTCCCCTTGATCATTATAATTGTAGAGTTGAGATCCGGCAACGGCAATCTTCACCCGCGTACATTCGCGCCCGCGTATTGTTCCGATTCTTCCAAGATTTCTACGTTTTGCGAAAACCCCCTTGTCCGACCCTAGGTACTCCCGTCTGCAGCAATCCCCCTACGCGTAACGTATACGAGCTTTCCTGTGAACCCTTTCTCTTACCCTGAGATCTCTCCCAGCCCTCGACAATCCTCCCAGCGTATTCCCCCGCGGAATATTGTACGGACGAAAGTGCCACGAGTCCCATACGACCCCAATTCTACCCCTTTCCCTTTTCGGTTTTGATTGCCACGAGACGTGGCTGGCGCCCAACGCATTGTACTACCGATTGAAACTTGTAATTGTAATAAAAGTATAGAGTGCACCCACGTGTAACGGGTCACAATACAATTAAGTAACAATTATTATTAATAAAATTTGTTGCATTAACGAACTGCGTTAACAATTATAAAATAATTTCTATTTCACTTATTCAATAGCTATTAATAAAATCTATTTAATCGTCAAATAGGATACTAAATACATTTCAAAGTTTTCGGAGGCGGCGCAAAATTAAAAATACCTGAATATAAAATCCTGCCAATAACGATTTGATTGCGGTATGGCAAACTTGGTAATTAATAAGTCGTAAGAAAACAAATTGGAAACGTTATAGATACGGCAGAAAACATTTGTAATTGTAACGATTGTATCAGAAATTGGTAGCACTTCTGGTGTACATGTATATTGCAATTCACGAGAGACCATACTTAATTCGCGCTGCTCACTTGGTCTAGGGAGATTTTTAATAACGTGTGTGATTCTCCTCTACAGCTTGATATAAATAGTGGACAGAAATATATGACGTATGATAACTGATAACCGATGATGATATGTTACAGATTCACGATACAATGAAATTCATATTATTTTTTCAAAGAAACAATTATATAATCGTAAAGTAAGAAACAAGCTGTACAGGGGAATCATACACGTTATTAAAAATGTCCCTAGACCTAGTAACCTGCACGAGTTAAGTATGGTCTCTCGTGAACTGCAGTATAGGTAATCCGCAATGGGTACGTTGATTGCCGTTGAATATTGTTTACTTGAAATTATCAAATGGGTCATTTGTCACAGGTTGCCGACGCGTGAACTAGGACCTTCCTAGTAGAAGAAAAGTTTTTAATTTTGCGCCACCTCCGAAAACTTTGAAATGTATTTAGTATCCTATTTAACGATTAAATAGAGTTTATTAATAGCTATTGAATACTGGTATAAATGAAATAGAAATTATTTCATAATTTTTAGCGCATTTTGTTAATGCAGCAAGTTTTATTAATAATAATTGTTACGTAGTTGTATAAGGACCTGTTACGTCCGGGTACATTTTCAATTAACCCGACCTTGCGTTCCTCATCGGATGCGCTGCATCTGGAACTTTCCACGTGAGGGGCGCAAAGAAGGGCCTTGCTAATTTATTTCTTCTCCTCGTTACCTGTCCGCGTTCCTCCGATCTTGTGCTCTACCGTCGGGTGCGTGAGCACTTGGAAGTAATTCCTCACGGAGAACACAAGAAAGGAGTTTGAGATTAAAATTATAATTCTCCTTTTCCTTTTCTCTTGTTAGTTTCAATAGTTTAACCGTCAATATACCGAGCTTGTGTACCTCGCCAGTGCGAAGCACTTGGAGATAATCCCAGGCGAGGCACACAAAGAGGGCTATATTTAGTTCTTTCAAATAATACAAGTCAACCTTTCCTTGGGATGATTGCCTTGTCGAAACTACGTAGCGACAAAAACTTCGAAAGTCGAAACCGTTTAGGGAGAGGTACCATAAACATCCTTCGCCGCGCGGTTAAGCAGTGCGACGCACTTGGAAATTTCCCAACTTAACCGTGCAACATAAAGAAGAATTTTCTTCTATTTTATTAGCGAGGTACCTCTCATACCTGCAAAGCATGCGTCAGCCGACCCTTCCACGAGGAGTGCATGTGATTTATAACAAAGCGATTGGAATTTAACGGAATGAAATTGTTTGAATGATATTAAAATGCGAGGGTTTGCGTGACAACCACTGTAGTTCGAAATCGTTCACGAATGTTCGAGACAAAGGTCGACCGAGTCTATAAACATCGTCGTTAAACGTTAAACGTAGAACGTTCGAATATACGTAAATCGTCGAGATACGAATAGGAATATTAATAACTAATAAGAGCGGAATGAATATTAACTAAATGCGACACGCATGTATCCACAATTTGTCGACGATTATAAAACACCGACTGCATCTCGCGTAACCCGCTAAACAACGAGATTAACAGAACAATTAACGTATGAATAATAATTAATGATATTCAACTAATGGTCATTCAAACCAGTAAACCAAATATTTGTAATGAAACGAGGACCCCTTTCGATACCGGAAACGTCATTATAAAAGCCTCTTTAATTAGCAAATTCGAATAAATTAAGTCGTAACAGATTTCGAATATTCCAGAACTTTAGAATTGCGACGCATGAAATCCGTCGTAGCGTTAGAGGGGTAGAAAGAAATGGACAACCTTAGACGAAGGTAGAAAGAAAAGCCAAGAAGGGATGAGAGAACTAGGAAGAGCGGCCAACTAGCCCAATACGCGCGGGATTTCCCCTCCGTCACGTACCCCGATTTGCCAAATGATGTCCCCACTTTGGGACCTTGATCGCGGGTCGAATCCTGAGACACGATCGCTTGACTGAGGCAAATCACTCTTCGTCGATAAGTCGCAAGGTGCGTGACGGGGAGCCCGTGTTCGCGTAGAGATAGAGTTGTAACAGAACCGCGTAATTAGATCGCTCGGCAAGTCCTCTTCAAGGCCGAGTGTCGAGAAAGTTTCGGTTCGGGGTTTTGTGACAAGGACTCAAACGGATACGTTAAATTCTTTTCATACTCTTCAAATTCTATCTTTTCTCTTTCATTTTATATCGTTCGTATATTAATTATTTTTTCTTTTTTTTTCCCGCATCGCGTCGATTTAGAAATACCTTGTGTTCGTTCGTAATAGTTTAAATTCGTCTCGTAACACCGTAATAAAGGCCGATCGCAAACGCGTAGTGCAATGGCAGTTTCCTCATCTCTTCTTTGATTTCCAGATTTCTCTACGACACCAGCGAAAAAGCTACGATTAAAACTATTATCAGATATTATTCCACCTTGATTCCTGGTAAGTTGTCCATTTCATTTTATCTAATACGACGAATCTGGACGTGGCGAGGCAAAACGGGCGATCTACGAAACCGCGTATTCTGGAAAGTTTCCCTCTAGATCGTTCCATTCACAATAGAGACATAAGGTATCGAATATTTAAAATATTTGGAAAATTCCGATTTCACACGAAAGAAGGCGGCCCCACGAAACCGTGGCTCTGGTAGTTTACCCTCTGGGACCGTTCTTCCTTTCTGTTCGCGTTTAATTCTTTATACGACATCGTCGCTCGAATCGTCGAATCGTTTAATCAAACATTAACTATTCCATAATCAATAGTCTCACTTTCATATAACCTAAACCTTTCTTAACAATGCATTTATTTTCCCTTGTATTTCAAACAGCTCGCATTTTCTGTTAACCAACCATTTTATTGTCACGTTTACCTTTTTTGAGATTATATTTTTGTTACGCCTAATCTGTTTTAATTCATCTACGTTTTCAAAACACTTCTTTTCCTTCATTTTCACGCCTACCATCTTCGTACAAATTCACACGAGGGGCCCGTATGG